GAGGTTTGCAACCGAGCGGCTGTTGCGTGATCATATGAGGAACCATGGTGAGTGAGGCAGGGTCGGCTTTCCCGGCCCCCTTTCCCTGGCTTCCCCTTCCCAGTGGTGAACTCTTCTCTCGTTCCTTCTGCGCAGTCAACCACTACAAGTGCCCCCTGTGTGACATGACCTGCCCTCTGCCCTCCTCTCTGCGCAACCACATCCGCTTTCGACACAGTGAGGAGCGGCCCTTCAAGTGCAATTACTGTGACCACAGGTAAGTGGAGGATGCCCGGGGCACCCAGAAATTCCAGGGCAGGCGGGCCTTCAAGCTTTAGAGGAGCAAAGGGCATTTTTCCAGGTGAAATTCTAATGCTTATTCTTCATGTTGAAAAAATCGGTTGGTCTTTTTCTAAGACTCAGGCAACAGAAAATAGGGTCCAGGGTTAAATGAAATGGAAACATAGACAGCTGCTTGAAACATACCACTTCAGGCCAAACCCTGGACTCCCGGAGCTCCATAAAATCCTTAACCTACCCACCTAGCTAACATGGATTAGATCGGCAGAACATAATGGGGAAAGTGTCCGTATTTAATTCACGTTCTAGCTCAAAGGCTGATCACTTGAAGCAGCCTTCCCTGTCCTTGTTGCCGTCCAAAGCATCCGAAGGGCTCATCACCCCTGACCGTTGGCTGAGGTTAGTGGGAATAGCAGGCGATCCAAGTTACCTGGAAACCACCTTCCTGGGAAAAGCTGTTCTCTGAGGGAAATGCATTTATCTATACTCACAACATTTGTGTGTGGCGCTGTTGTGGTTGTTACATTGTATTTATATCTTTTTCCTCTTGTGAGGAATGGGATATAAAATATTATAAATACATAGAAACAGAGTGAGTCAGAAGGGGTCTCCCGGGCCATCTAGTCTGACCCTGGGCTCCAGCCGGCTCTGCTCACGACATGCCTACCATGTGCATGTCCAGCCTATCCTGGAACACCCTCACCAATGGGGCCTCAACCACCTCCTGTGGAAACCCATTCCATACCCTCGGGATCCTAACTGTCAGGAAGTGTTTCCTGGCATCTAAATGGAACCTTGGTTCCCATAATAAACAAGATAAAAATATCTAGTCTTTGCACTGCACTGTTAAATCCTTCCTTTCCTTTCTTCTTCCAGCTGCAAGAATCTCATTGATCTACGAAAGCACTTGGATACACACAGCAAAGAGCCGGCCTACCGCTGTGAGTTTGAGGCCTGTAACTTCAGTGCTCGATCCCTCTGCTCCATCAAACTGCACTACAAGAAGGTTCATGAGGTGCGAAGGGGGTGGGAAGGAGTTGCAGAGCCTAGAGCTGTTTTTCCTTTGATTTCCAAAACCATGTGGATGCCTGAAGGGCTGCTAGAATCCTTGGAGAATTCCTAGAGGATGTGGGCATGGCAAGAAAATGCTGTGAGCTATGGATGGAAGGAAATTTGTTTAGTTTTGCAGCAAAAAGGTATAGCACAGAGCCGACTCATCATTTGCACCTGGTAATTTTGTCCTTGGAAAATCCCCTAAGTCACAGGAAGAAGCTGTGGCAACCTTGCCCCTTCATGACTGGGTATCCAACACTGACCTTCCTTTGACTTGAAGGGTTTCACTAAAATTGTTTACATAATTTCAAGCCTGTCTTTGTATCCATTTTGCCTAAGTATTTGTCCTAGAAACCAAAATTATGACAGCTGATGCTCAGGATGCTGGATTTCAAGTGCAGGGCTTATTTCTTTTGATCAATGATATGCTGACAGAATACAGTAATCCTCCAATTTGCTGCTTTTTGAAAGCTCCCCGAATCTGAAATATAGAGAGCCTTTTTCCTGGTTTACACACAAGCCACTGTAGAGCTTCTTGTCATGGTGGCTACAGCCCTCTGAATATTTGGTGCATATTGCACATGAGCCTGGCAAGTGTGGGTCGTGGGGGCGCTTGGTAGGCCACCTGCAACCTAGAATGCAAGCCACCCTTCTCAGCAGTTCTCTCTGCCCTCACAAGTGATTAGTAGGCGCTTAGCGCAGTGGCCTGGCGCCCCGACAGCCTGCCTGGGCCAGCAGGCCCCGGTGGATCGCATTTGCCTTGTGAACTAGGCCTGTTGCTAACGAACTTTGCATAACGTTGGTTTTCCTCATTGCGTCCCTGCAGGGCGACTCGGAGCCCCGCTACAAATGCCACGTCTGCGACAAATGCTTCACCCGTGGAAATAACCTGACGGTGCACCTCAGGAAAAAGCACCAGTTTAAGTGGCCTTCGGGCCACCCTCGCTTCAGGTATGCAGACTTAGGGCTGGGTCCAGACACTGCCGCCTCCCTGTTTCATGGCTCAGATCTGCAGACCATGGCATCAAACAGCCTTTTGGGGAGTGGGCTCCAGCAAGCTGGTGGGTGCCGCTTTGTAGTCAAAGCACTTTGCAGGTGCGGTAGGGCTGGCATTTGCCAGGCTGTTGAAACCTTAAATCAACTTTCAGGTTAGGGTTGTTAAAATGCAAATGAGGGTAGGTGGTGACACACTGTTCTTTCGCCTTGAATTCCCCCGCTGCAAATTGGCTGGGACCACTGCATGTCTGAACGTTCAGTCCAAATCTTGAGCGCCTTTTTTCTGGACTGGAGCAGAACAAGCAAGGAGACTGAGGCTTGCCGCCTGTCTCTTCGCCACATCCCCGAGGGTTCCTTTGGTGCAAAGCAAGTCAGAGGCAGTCACAAAGAAAAGCAGCTGTGGCAGCTGTACCCCGGGGCCTTGTGGCAGGTGGGCCAGTGCTGATGGTGTCTCAGCCATCTACTTTGTCCCCACTTGGGTGAAAGAAAGCAAAGCTTCCGCTCTGACCCCAAAGCCTAGGGACAAAAGTAGAACCTCTGCTGTTCCTTAGGACAGCTGGATGGTGGGATGGGTATTTGGGCAGCCCAGCGATTCCTTGGTACTCCATTTTGCAGAGGGATCCAGAAAGGAAGCCCAAATCAAGCACTTTCTGTAAAACCCCCAGTTCGGAGCACACTGCACTTGGCACGGCAGTCGACCTTGCTTTGGCATGGCAAAATGTTTGTTCTTCTGTGGGCAGAAGTTTGACCCATTTCCTGCTACACTGATATCTAGACAGGATGATGAATAATTGTCCGTTGGAGCCAAATACAGCCTCCAAGGCATTTTATCAGTTTGTGGTACAATTTCCATATAAAGAATCATGTTAATTTGCCTAAGAGGTGGCATGCCGGCTTCCCAGCATGTTCTGTGGTCCCATGTGAGCTGGTCATCCCTCTCTCTGCCTTCTCTGCTTCGCCTGGTGTTTTGACATTCCCGTGGCCTTCCCTTTATAGCATGCAAACCACTGGCGTCCATTCTCCATAGCAGCATGCTATGATGGTTGGGAGCCCTGCTTATTCTTCCCTCTGCGACCCCATGTAGGTACAAGGAACACGAGGATGGCTACATGCGGCTACAGCTGGTACGCTACGAAAGTGTGGAGCTCACGGAGCAACTCCTCAAGGACCGGGAGAAGCAGGGGGAGGTGCTGGGTGACGCGGCCCAGTGCGTGGTGCTGGCGGGGGCCGAGGGCGGCCTGCAGGGCATCGTCCTCGAGCCCCCGGCGGAGGAAACTGCCGACGTGGACTTGCAGGTGGCTGTGCCTGCCCCGGGCCCCGCTCAGCAAGACGCCGACGCACCCCCCGACCGGGAGCCGAGTGCGCCCTCCAGCCCCATCCTCCGCGTGGTGAGCAGGACCAACGAGCGCGGGGAGAGTGAGACCGTGTACTACGTGATGGCCAGCGCACCTTTGGAGAGCCGAGTGGTTGTGCCCGGCGGGCTGACCACCGAGGCAGAGGAGAATGTCATGGACAGGCTCCAGAAGACGGCGGAGGAACTGGGCATTCAGATTGTATGAGGCAGCAGCCTGGGTGTGGAACATCGGGCCCCGGCTTCCGCTGCTGGCGGGGGCTGCGGAAGGCCTGCTTCAGGTTCCCCAGCCTCCTTAATGCGCACTGCGGGAGCTGAGGGCGGTCAGCTGTGCTCCCCGCAGCAGTGTGCAGGGGACCTGTTCATCCTGGGCTCCGTGCACACAGGTGCTCCTTTGCCCTGGGAGCTGTGGCACCTGCTGGTGCTTGGGGGGTCTGGCAAAGGAAGAGGGAAGCCCCAGAGCTCGGGACAAGGGCTGCTTCGCCAGAGAGCTCTTTGGGAAACGGCAGCCGGCTGTGCTTTGGAGCCCTTCCAATCAATGCAAAATATTGGGGGCAGGGTGAAGAGCTGGGCATTCCAGGAGGCTTATTCCCCTGCTTGCCTGTCTTGGATCATCCCGGTGTCCTGCCAGAAATGTTCCTGTTTCTTTCGTCTCCATCCCGGCCAGTCCTCTTCCTCGCCATGAGCCCCACACTCAGACTTGGTTGTTCCTCTGCTGCATGTCTAACCACTGATCCCCCCTTTTAAGCCTCGTTTGTCTCAAGCCTGCCTGTTGGTTCCAGCACTGATCTTTCGGTGGCTCGCCTGTTCTATGAGCGAGGAGCCAGAACATTGAGAGCCTGTTTTCAGTTGCTACTCCAGGGTTAGTCACTTCCTGCCTTCATTTTTTTTTTAAATTTCACTGAGCTGCTTTCTCTTTGTGGCTTGGGAGCCGCAAGGGCAATGTGTGGAACCACGGGCTTCATGTGCGCTACCTGCTCCGTGTCTCCTCCCGCATGGCCCAAGCACTGCAGGGCGGTTTGTGCTCGGGTGGCTCCCGCACCATAAAAAGACCAAGCAGAAAGCGGGGCTGCTTCTGGCCAAGGGTCCTTCCCGCATGCTGGGGGTTCCAGCTCTGGCTTGCAGGGTTTATGTTGTGACCGGAATAAGAATTAAAAGCAAAACTTAACCACAACCAGGTCTTGTGTCAGGTCTGATGTGTGTGTGTGTTTTTTTATCACCTATCTTGGAGGTGTGAATGAGTGGATCAGACCTATTTGAAGAAGCTAGATTTTATTTGAGTCCAGGGGCTACCAAAGTGATGATGAGTGAAGGGGAGCTGCATTATGTTTAAAAAAATCCTTTGGGACCACGGTGGGATGAGTTTTGTTCACGTGTTCAGCGTCTGATTACCAGATTGGAGTTGGGAAGGCGCTTCTGTTCCACCTTGGATGTGGCTACTCTGGAAGTGGTTGGGGAGGTGGTAAGCTTGGCTCACTTGCTTTGTTATTTGGAGGTATAGCCACGCAGTAACCTTGTTGAAGTGGGTAGAAGCACCGAGAGGTGCTGGCTTGCTCAAAGAAATGCAGTCTGAGGCCTTCAGATCCAAAACCCTGTCCCACTGCACCGTTCTGCCTTCTGTGGATATTCTGGGAAGCAACAGGGCCCCCGCTGTTTGGAAACCTCTCACTCTGCTGTGGCTACTGTGCATGTTTCCAGTCCTGATGTTCTCGCAAGGTTTGTGGAAGTGGGAGAGAAAGTGTGTCAGTAATCGCTGCTTGCTTTGAGATTATCTGTGTCATGACAGGAGGGGTGGGGGGGAGGTCAGCAGAAGGATTAATAGAAGCTTCCCAACCTCACCCTTGTATTTTCTTCCCTGACCTGCATCTTGGCACGGAGAAGCAAATATTTTCTCCATGTCAGGAAAGCACCTGGGCTGCTTCAAGGCACTTGGGCAACCCATTCAACTTGGCCAAGCTGCCCGAGGAAGGCGAGGGAGCATCTTCCTCGGACTTCATGTTCTTTGAAGGGAAAGGGGTGAAGCTCCCCGAGAAGGTTGGGGGCCCAGCTCTGCGATGTGTCCAGTGGCACTGAGAACTGTCTTCTTCGTCCTCGCTGTGCGGGGGTTCCTCTCAGGTGAGGAATCGGAAGGTAAGCCAACTTACGGAGCACACGGTTAGAAGGGAGGGACCAAGTGTCGTCCTCCCAAGGATGGGGAGCAGTATCTCAGGCCTGTTTTCTGCACAAGCCAAAGTGCAAACGCCATTTCCTGGTCAGGGTGCAATGGTTAAATGCACCTATTTTAGCATTCATCTTGGCTAGAAGCACTTGAGCTGACCTTGAACTCGGCCTCGGTCGCATGTCTGCAATACGAGGATAAAAATGCTGGTCTACTTTTTTAATGTCATAGTTCAAGAAAAAGATTAAGTACATGTGTGTGTATACAGACAGCTCTGTATTACAGTGAACTTGAAAATAATTAAGCAAAATACCTACTTTTATGGGGCCTTTGGAAGAATTGCTGAAATAATATTTCTGAAATGCTTTGAGCATTTTCATATGGAAAGCAGTCACCGTACACCCAAGATGTTATTTCTGCATCTAAAATAACATGTTTTAGTTAGCATGTTTTAAAAATCCACCAAATTTTGAATTTGCAACCCGAAACTGGATTTTCCAAATGCTACATGTGGAATTAAATTTTGAGAACTTAAAAGTTTCGGTCAAATGTTCAGCAGCAGATTATTTGTTCATTTATTATGTTTTTGATCTACCAGTAATGGATGTTCTCTTGGCACGTTGCAAACAGCTGAAAGAATAAAATGTGATAGAACTAAAAGAATAGCACACTGAGCAACATCGTTGGGAATCCCCAGATAATGCCATGCAGTCCCAGTCTCCAGTCTTAATTCTGACATCAGTCATGATTTGGAAAATGTGGTAGATAAAGTAAAATGAGACTATTCAAAAATACAATTAAAGTTTTTGTAATCCTATTTGAAATAGACCAAAGTTACTGGACACATTTCCCCCTTACCAGCTTTGTTTTAGATGTATACATCTTAACCAATTTGTTTCAGTTACAGATCATTTCAGCCACTGTAGCTGTTTTTCTGTTATTAAAATCAAATTGCACTTAAGAATTCACTTTCATGTTTGACTGGACATAAAGTAACTACTTACAGAGTAGCTACTGAACTGAAAGAGTGCACAATCTTAAATATAAGGATACTCAAGCATCTTTCCCCTTTTCTTACCTGCTCTGTGCAATGGAAATTCAAACATCCAGATATTTTGCCGATCTTCCACAACAAATGCAAGATTCTTTTCGCTTGGGCTTTAGTTAACGGCACATGATAAATTGTTTCTTCCATGCTTAAATCTTGGCTGTGCATTAAACATTTTAATCCAAACCTCTCTTTTCTCTTCAGTTTGTTTTCCGTGACTTAGCTTCTTAATACATGTACCTGCCCTTTTTTCTTCGGTATGGGATGCTGTATATTGTGCCACTGTGTGTGTAAAAGCTTCAGGTATTAATGATTTAGACTTCCCAAGGTACTAGATCAAAATGATTGCAACATCCACTTACATCAGGCCTGGAATGGGGGGCTGGAGCAGCGTTTTGGCCCCACTTTGGGGTGGGGGCTTGTGTGCAAAGAGCTTTCCCGTGCCACCCACAAGAGCACACCTTGCCTGGCATCCAAACAATGAACATCTCAGATCATTCTCTTGCATGCAGTCCTACATTATATGCAAACTAAAAATAATCCACAGGCTTGCAGCATTTTGGTCTTTGTGGGGGTCTCTCTTGCAGGTCACCAATGTCCTAGTCACCTCTTCTTAAATCCACTGGACCACTCTTGCTGTAGTCTGTTTTTATTCATTTGTAGCAACTTTCAATATTTTTAAATTTTATTGGTTTAATTATTGCTGCCTTTTTTGCTTTATGGTCAAACTTTTTATTTTAAATGTTTACAAAAATGCCTCTGTTGACATAGCCCCTTTACAGATTCTAACATGGAAATATGGAATATTAAAATGCCCTGATGACTTTTCCCCCAACTCTTTAGCAAGAGGCACAGTGCTGGATTTCTTTATTTCCAATGTGTTACTGCATTTGGCAACCTTCTGCAGCTGTCCTATTTACCTGTACCAAGCTGGATTTTTTAAGGCAAAAAATATTAATTTTTATTACTCTGTGAATTCTGCTTCTTCTGGTAGATTTGGACACCTACTGGTCTGGAACAGCCCCAATCTGCTTAGGAGGGTGCAGAGGAAAGCACAAAGAATTGAAGAGGAGCCAGTGTGGAAATGGAAGCTGCTGTTGGTTGGGATACAAATCATTTTGTAGAGGTATGAGCCAGGGTGATGGATTGTGAGTTGCTCTTGAACTTGGGAAACCGCAGTGAAATTCCACCTGCACTAAAAGTTTACTGGGCAAGTCACCACCGGAATCTTTACCCTACTCAGATCAATAAAATCTGGATCGTGCTTGCAGCCTTTGTTAATTAGGGTAGAACAAAATAGAGATTGTGAGTCACTTTGCTAATGGTACGGGAGTGATGGGAACTGGAGAGAAATAGGAAGAGATGGAGGATTACACAAGGATAGATCTTAGAAGGATTCCTCAAACTGATGGAAGCAGGGATGATTCAGAAGGCAGTTTATTATTTAATCTATATCCCACCTGTTTTCCTTCCATGGAACTCAAGGCAGTTTACAGAATTCTCTTCCCCCTTTCAATCTTATCCTCACAACAACAACTCCTCTGTGTGGTAGGTTGGGCTGAGAGTCTGAGACTCACCTGAAGTCACAGGTAGTGAGCTGAGTGGGGACTGGACCCAGGTTGCCTGAGTCCCAGTCTTGTACTCTTAACCACTACGCTACACTGGCTCTCAGCTAGCCATAAGATTTGCCTGGGCCCTACCAGTTCACTGACGGTGCACTTGTGCATGTGGAAGGTACATGGTGGAATAGGCTGTTGCCTCCCCGATCAGGGCTGGAAGCCGGATCAGCACCACTGGGCACCTGCCGGAAGCCCAGCTTGGCTCACTTACATGAGCCCCCTGGAATCCTTCCTCCACACCCCTGCAGCCAACTTGTTGCTCCAGCCAGGTGGTGAGGAGGAGCCAATGCCATGGCCCCTCCCTCACTGGTTCTTTTCCTGGCGCAAGCACGGGGTTGCTGTGTTGAGCAAGAACTGCTGGTCAGCAGGGCAGCAAGAAGGTGGCTTCCTGTCTGAGCCTTGCCAAAAATGCTGTCCAAACCCTGGAGCCAGCGCCACCCTGATCGTGTGGTTCCCAGGACTTCTGGCTAGAGGCAGTTGGGAACAGAAGCGAAGGCCCGCCAATTCCTTGCTGGGATCAGAACCACCAACCGGGCATGGGGCAAAGCCCAGTGTTGCAAAACAAAGGCGTTTTGGGGGCACGGCCTGAAACAGGGACAAACTGGCCAACTGGATTCTGCCAGTCTGGGCATTTTCAGTGAGAGCGTCCGTCCTGAAATGCCAGCCCATCTCAGCACTTGGCACAGTGCAAAAACAGCTCTCCTTGTTTCTTTTCGCAGTCAACTGTGGGCGACCAGAAGCAGAGTTCAATTCCATGGTCTACGGCAATGACTGGTGGGTGGGCTCAGTGGTCCGCTACAGGTGCCGCCCTGGCTTCCTGCTGGTGGGGGACCCGGCTAGTGCTTGCCTGTCCAGTGGGCGCTGGACCCCCAAACCCACCTGCCTCCGTAAGTAATGACCTGCAGAGGGCTCAGGAGCAGTGAGTGCGTCATCTTAGAAGCAGCTGGGCGTATTAGAAAAATGTTCTTCTCATGTCTGCTCCTGCTTTATATTCTCAACCACCCTGCAAAGTAGATCGTAGTGATTAGCCTGGCACGTGCCTTTCGGGGCTGGGGCAAGTTTGTCCTGAGCAGGTAGAAGTCTGTATTTCCTGAAATTCACCTCGCCACAAGGCATCAACGCCTAGTCCTGCCACTGACACAGAGGGGATGTGGCTAGCCATGAATTGCTGGCTCGGAAGGAAGGGCCCCGTGTAGCACACTCCAAATAAAAGGCTGGGTTGTGTGTCTTGTCCTTTGGAGCCCCTTTTGCTTTTCCCAGACTCCCTTTGACTCTTTCTGACTTTTCCTTCCACAAAGGGATCTGCCTTCGGGGCCGGATTGAAATCAACGAACGGGACATCGATGGAAGCTGCTCCTCCACCTGTCCCCACAAGGCACACCTGGGACCCTCTGTCAACCATGGCTGCATCAAGATCTCCTCCTGCACCACCAAGCAATCTGGCTGGACCCGCTGGTTCTTCCGTTGTGACTTTTGTGAGTGCGAGTGCTACATCCCCTGCGGTGAGTGTCTTCTGTACCTGGAGGGGAAAAGGTTTCTCTGATCTGCAGGTGTTGCACGGATTAGAGAAGGTTGCATGTTACTCATGTGTAACATCTTTCCCTTCTACTCAAGCAGAAAGTGACACCCCTGACTTCTGGAAGCCCTCCTCTGCTCCCGTGTCCCTGCCTCTGGATTTCAAAAAGATCTGCACCCAGGCATTGAAGCCTACTGGTATCCTAGTCAACAGGGGCTAGAAACCTGCTTGGTTCCCCCTTCCCTCAGCTGGTGGAGGGTTGGCCTGGGACTCAGGAGGTGCAGGTTGTATCCCCAGTTGACCATGAAGCCAATCACTGACTCAACCTCCCGGGACTGCTGTGAAGATAAAATGGAGAGGAGGGTTATATAAGCCACATGGGGTTCCTTGCAGGAAGAAAGGAGGGATAAAACTATAGTGAATTAATAAAATTTAAAACTGTCAAGTTAAGCCCCTCAAGTTAAGAATGGCCAGTGATTGGGGTACTGGAGGTTGCAGTCTAAAACATCTAGAGAACAACAGGTTCTAGATCACAGGGTTACGACGTAAGAACTGGCATTGCAGAGGGAATAGATGCCTCTTCGGTATAAGCCAAAGTTTAGGCTGGAACTTAACAGAAAAACAGGATTGTCAGCCGATCTACAGGAGGGGGAAAGCTTTCACTGCCTTGGTCCACCAGCGGATGGCTTGATAGGTTCATCTGGATCATATGTTACCTTCCCAAGGGACTAGTGAGGTCTGTTAAGCTGAAATAAGGTGACCTTACAAAGGCTTCTCGCTATGGGGCCTGTAAGCTGTAGGGGATCTAAAATAAGGACATAAAAAGCCAGGGATTCAAGGGGTCAGGGTGAAGGATAAATGGTCCTTGAGTGGAAGGGACCCAGAGAAGTGCAGTCTCCGAGTGCCGGTTTGGGGGCATTCCATAAAAAAATCTGTGCCTGAGTCCAGGGTCTCTCTTGCTGTCTGGGCAAAACCAGCCCATTGTCGACATCGAATGTGACCCACGTGGTTTTGAGCCTGGGCACGGTAAGCAGCTGGGCCCAGATTCAGGAGAGACGGCAGAGCACAGCCTTGGAGGCACGCAGAGCTGGCGGGCCACACTCTTGGTATTCCTGCTTAAGTTAGAGTAATTCCAAAGGTGCCCCGGACTTACTGGTTGGCGTGCGCAAGCGTTGTGCAAGGGGGTGTCCTCTTTCTGGCCTCCATGCCCTTCGAGTCAAAGTGCTCCACACCCTGAATGCAGATGCTAAACCCAACATGTGCTCTTTTGCAGCTGAAAGCTAACACCAGAAGGACGGCCCACCCGTGTTGCCTCCTCTACCTGCTGTGTAAGTGTTAAGCTTGCTCGTGCCCCGGGGCTGGAACTTTAAGCCTGCTTTACGTGATTAAGGCCACAGTCGTGGGGCTTTTGTCTGTCTAAACCTGCACAGGATTCACTCTTCTCTGGTGTAATCAGTTTAAACCCCTTTTCATCTACTACAAAGACATCACTGATTACTTAGGTGGCAAGTCTTTTTTTTTTTAATCCAGAATTATTTTTCATGAAGTGGAAAGCATTTTCCTAGGAAGAGCACTCCATATGAGAGGAGCTGCCTTCTCTAAAGCACTGCAGTGTGTACCTGCGCCGTCCAAAATGACTCAGTTCACCTACGTGCAAATTTGGTCCATTCAAATCCTTTCCATCCTGATGGCCTGGTGCCTTCCCAAGATTGGGGGCTACAGGTACCCCAAAGCGGCTAATGGCACTTTCCAAGGTGGCAAAGGGCACTGGGAGCTGTGGTCCTGAAAGACACCATTGGCTTACCCTTGAGATGTCTTCAACATGCTGATGGCCCCACTGCTGTCTTTTCAGTTTCAGCCAGTCTTAAGCACGTGCCTGACTTCCTCTGGATTCTCACCTGCCTCTTCTTTCTAACCCATCTCGGGAACAGATCTCAGATGCTGGCAACTAGCTAGTTTCAAACGGTGCATGAATAAAACCTGCGTTGCAACGATCGTGCATCTCGGCTCTTGCTGTACACCGGTCACGCCTTCAGACCTCGTGGATGGGGGTTCCTAGATTATGGGCATTCCTTGCCATAGAGATCTGTAGCTTCACCCAGAACACCTGCCTTCTCTTTGCATGAAGACCCAGTAAGATGCTTTGCTGGCATTGAGCGTCCTGAATGAGGGGTGCAAAGGAGGTGGTTCCAGCGCAGGGAAAACCCAGGCTGAGAATGCAGCCATCACCTTCACCTTCTTCCCTCATTGCCTGCTGCCCGTTTGCCCGCCCCTTCCAACTGTCTGCAGTCTGGCTGGTGAGAGAGATCTGGGAAGGAGAGCGGCTGAACCTTCCTTCCAAGGATGAAGCCAAACATGCTGGGTGTGCAGGCCAGTATTCTCTCTGCAGCAGCACACCAGGAACACCTCTCTCTCTCTCTCTCTCCCCTGTCCCACCTTTCCTCAAGCAGGCACAGGTGGAGAATATGTGGCCACGGAAGTGCTGGTGCCAAAACTCCCGTGGCTCTCCCCAGTGGCTTCCCTGCCCAGACACACTTCCTGCTGGTGCATCGGGGCAGCAGACAGGGCAAGGAAAGGTCCCAGAAGGTGGGTTGATCAAGAAAATGAGCAGTGAGCACTCAGGGTTTGCCGTTTCCTAGGCAATCTTCAGCAAAGCGGTCAGCCGCCTGTCGGTAAGGGGAAGGACGAACGGTCCTGGCCTATAATTCTGCACTGCCTCAGCTGCCCTGGGAAATCAGAGGCTTCAGCTGTGCTCCCACGCAGGACATTGGTGAGAAGAGAACTTTGTGCAGTGCAAGGAACAAAATGCAGTGCCCCAGTGTGTCCACACCACCCATTTCATCCTTGGGACATTCGCTTTGAGCTAGATTTGGACGAGCGCTGAAGTGGCTGCAGGCTATCAGATGGCCTTCACGGGGCACACGTGAGCAGATGGAGGGGCCTTCCTGCTTTTAAGATGGTTCTTGGACATTTCCACAGCTGCCAGCAATGCTTTGCAGCCCGAAGCAAAGGGCAGCCTGTGATTGCATCAGTCTGGCCCTAGAGAGGAATATTCCTGAAAGCTTTGCGGATGGGACTTGCTAGAAGGGCAGCTTTCCATGGTCTTCCGATGTGGGTTTCAAGGAGAGAAGGCAGAAAAATGTGCCACTAGGAAATGGGGAAATAACAGAGTAGGAGAAGTTGGAGCGATAATTCTGCAAAAGCTTTTTTACACTGAGTTGCCGGGTGTCACCTTCCAGCACAGATTCCGCAAGGGCACCAAGCCCCAGGCTGCAGAGTCGCTGCAAGGAGTGCCAGCAAAGCGGTCTGGTGCATGTCAGAACACATCCCAGATGTTGTGGCTTGACTAGAAATCACCTGCCATCAAGACCAGTAGGGGGAGGAAGCAGAGTGGCCAGGTGCCCTAGTTTGCAGAGGACAGTCCTCTTCCTTGGACTGTCAGAGAACACTCCCCTATTTGAAAGCATCCTCTCTTTCAGCCTTCCCCAACCTGAGGCCCCCCAGATGTTGGACTGCAATCACCATAATCTTCCAGCCAGTATCGCTAGCTGAGGTTCATGAGAATTGTAGTCCAAGGGAGGTCGTTGGAGAAACCCAGAACGGAATCAAGTGAGGTCTGATTGCTTTAGATTCTGCAGGAGCTGCACCAGTTTATTTTACATAATGGGAGGATTCTGAGAACCTGCAGTTGCACTGGTGTAAATTGGTGCAAATGGAGGGAGGGCTGAACATGCCCAGTTCTCTCAGTCTCTCCTTTGCACTGGGAAGTCTGGGGGCAGATAATTGTGACTTTCTAGGGGCAAGCCGAGCATTTCTCCGGCTCAGCAAAACTCCATTTTTGCCACAAGGGGGCGCATTCATGTCATGCACTGGAATGGAGAAAACCGGCACACACAAAATTCCCACATCCATGTAGTATCATTGGTTGGATGCCTCACAGTTTACCCACAAACGTTCAGGCGTCCCAGATCACTGCTCAGCCCATGTCTTGTGAACCTAATAATGCCGGTGCCCTTGGATGGAGGATGGAAATCACGTTGCGGCCGTGAATGAGGCTCATGGTGCCAAAAAAACACGTTCTCGACTGATTCAGACTGTCAGTCTCCGGCTGATTCCCTGCAGCTGCTTTCTCTCTCACCTTCAGTGCCCTCCTCCTGCATCCAGCGATTTCTCGCCCTTTGCTTCTGCACTGGCCCCAGGACTGATCCCGAAAGTGTGCCAGTCAAAAGGGCCAGTTGGAAGAAAGATCCATCTCTACTTCAGCCCTTGGAGAGCACCTTTACCCATCAGAGGTGGCAACAGTGGGTTACACCAGGGATGGGGAAACCTTTATGGGCCAGATTTGCTGCATGGGGGTGTGGTTCCCACCCCCGAGCTAGACGGCCTGGCTGTGCATGGGGTATGGCATTCACCAGTACATTTCCAGTTTGCTCAGCCATTGTTCCCATTGCATCCTCGTCTTCCCAGCCTCCTTTGCTGGGGCCCAGGGAAAGTCTGGCAGCAGATGGCTGGGCACAGCATCAATTAACACTGCTCATTTCCATATGCCATTTGTCTTCCAGGCAGGGTGGCCGTGGGTGAAGCATATGACCGACCGGGATGGCAAGAGCCAAGCAGAAGGCCTCCCTCGAGCTGGAGGGAGAACCAGGCCTCGGATTCAAAGCTGTCTCATGCCACCCATCAGCGGGACAGGATGGCTGCTGGAGAAAGCACACCTCGCAATGCTGATCCCAAGGCAGGGTACCCCTGTTCCGCCTCTTCCTTCTCAGCCGGTGCTGCTCCTGGTACAAAAGAAGGTGGAGAAAGTGGTGGAAAAATGGGAGGCCGGCCCATTTTGGGTGCCCTCCAGATGCATCGGACCATAATTCCCAGTTGGGCTGCCAAACTGGGCTGCACTCACACCTTAAAACTGAAATGGTTCTACATAAGCTGCTTGGCCCTGTTGGTCTTCCCCTCCTCGTGTGCTTTTCACATGCGGTGTTGCCCCTTGCTCTCTTTGAGCTCAGATAATGTGCACAGGGTGCCTCGCTGTTTCACGCGTATTCTCTGCATGAGCCTTTCAACCTGTCATTTGAGCAAGGCCTCTGCTTCCAAATCTTTGGCAAGATTAAGAAGAGTCCCTTTACACCTGTTCTCACTCTCCTTTCTTTCGCTCCCTTTCTGTTTGCTTCACTACAAAACCACAAGCTGGTGCTGCAGAACTTGTACTTCTTACTGTGGTGACTTCCACCATTTCCAGATAATCGTACTTTCCTTGCTTCCCTTCCCCTGCCAAAAAAAGGAATATGAAATCACAGGAGGGCTTCAGAGGAGGATAATCTCGTGTAAAGAAGCCCCAGAGACAAGAAATGCTTTAGGCTACGGTGTCGTGCTATTTTGTATATTTTTGGCCATCCTGGGAATGAAGCCCGTTTAGTGCTCCACCTGAAAGAGTTTGCAAAGACAGGGTGGGCAACCTTTTCTGCAGAACATCAGTCCCTTGGGGGAATGGTCTTTCAGGGGACACGAGCCAGAGTTGGGTGAGGCTGTGCCTGCCCTCCCCCCCCCACCCATTGCTCCCCCTCTCTCACACACGCCCCTTTCAGGGACCCCCTCCTTTCACGCGCTTCCCCCATGGACAGAGGGCTGCCTACAGACAGTCTGTGTGTCTCAGCCTGAAATCAAATCTTAGGCCCTTCTTTCCCCAAAATTGATTTTTCTGCAATCTAGGGGTGGGAGAAGCAGAAGCAGCAAAGAGAAATAGAGGATGACACTAACAATTTGATGATGGCGTGAAGGAGATGCTCCATGAAAGTGAGCTAAGAAGAAATGGCTGTTTGAGTTGGTGAAAAGGGCACGGCGGCTGGGTTCTTCCTCCTCGAGCAGTTGTGGAAAAGGAAACTGAGGAGGTGGTACGGGAGGGATAAGAAGAGGGGGCACTGCCCCCCCCCACCAGGACATGTGCACGTTAAAGTCCATGAAGGAGGCCTAGCGATTGCACAACTAAGACCTTGCCCGGAAGCATCCAAGCAGGACCTGCCTTGAAAGGGAAACATGCGAGCCAGTGCCAGCGGAGGTGCAGCTGAGAGTGTCATGCCTACAGGGTTCTCCTCCAGGATCAGACCTTCTGGGGTGCACCTGCCACCCCACAGGTGTGAAGTCTCTGATCCTGTGAGCCCCTGCATCAGAGCTGGGACTCTTCAAACAGGCACCCCAGGAGGCAGGTGGAAATTCAACAGGGAGCTCTCCTCTTTCCCCCTGCAGCAAGGGTGGAGGCTTGCTGAAGTGGGTCAAGGAACAAACTGGGGCACTTCCCCTTTCCCTGAAAGTTCACACACGCTTTTCTTCCCGTGCAGGTGGTTATGGTCGTACATACTGGGGCTGCTTTGCTTCCCACCTCCTGCTGTAGCTGAAGGCTGCCGGGGCGGCGGGGAGAAGCACGGCTTCCCTGGCTGAGTCCCTTTTGACCCAAAGTGAGAGCTGTCTTGGGCAATGAATCTGACCCTCCCCAGGACTAGAAACTTGCTGCCTTCCGCCTGCCCCAGAGAGAAACAGATAGAAGTAGTGCTTCCCAGGGGAGCATCCGTCTCACCTGCGGCTTTTACCTGCTGCTGGTGGTGTGCATTGTTTTCTTCCTTCCCTCCCTCTTTTAAGAACAGACTTCGCCGGCCCCTTTAAGGGAAGCGGTTGTGCTGCCTGAGAAAGCAGAAACCTGCCTGCAGGCCCAGCCCACCCCTCCCCTCCCCTCCCCTCCCTCTCTCTCTCCCACCCCTTTGCTGATGCTTGTGACATTCAGCAGAGAGGAGATGAACCTCACGGCAGGCGGAGGAGGGAGCCCTCCCCGGCCCGGGCAGGGGGGCTGCTAGCGCGCGGCCGGGCTGAAGGGGTGGGGAGGGGGCTTCCTCCGGCCCCCACAGCCTCCCGAGCCACCGCCCAGGCGCTCCAGGGATGGAGGAGCGCGACGGACCCGCCGCAGCGGGGCTGGATGCGGCTTGCAGGCGCTGAGCA